CAACAGACGACTAAATGACAGACCATCAGACGTGGAATACTGAGTAGCTATTAATAAAAGTGAGGCAGATCCGATATGGAGAAATCTGCTCAAGAGGAAAGTAAAAAGTTGCGGAAGTATGAGAAGTATGATACCATTTGTGTGAAAAAAAGGGACAGTCTATTTCAACACATGCATACTTGGACATGCCTAGAAAATTTTTGGAAGGACACTTAAGAAATGAGTGTCAGAGATTGCCTCTGAGAAGGGAAGTAGTAGGGGTGGCTAGGGAACATATGTTATGCTGTTCTGTTTCAGGCTGTTTGCATTTTTTAAAAAAAATAGTGTTATCTGTTTAAAATTGAAAAAAATAATTTTATATAAAAAAAACTCAGTCTCTGGGTAATGATATAGAAAGATAAGAAAACAGCAAATCATAATGCTGTCCATGATACATATATGATTAGGGAAGTGCACGGGGCTGTGGGAGCGCCGAGGGACACCTAGCTCAGCTGGGGGAATCAAGGAAGGCTTCCTGGAGGAGGTGATGCCTGGGCTGAGGCTCCCAGGCTGAGTGGAAGTTAAAGGAAGATACTTGGTGGGGGCATTCCTGGCAGGAAAAACAGCATGGGCAAAGGTCTGCAGTTAAGGTTCAGTGTGGCTGGAACAAAGCGATTAATGTGGTAGGCGGTTTGGAATTTGTCCGAAGGGCCATGGCCAGTCCTGGATGGGTTTTAGGAAGAGGAGTGAGAGGGTCAGAGTTTCGTTTGGAAAGATCCCTCTGGCAGCCTCATGGGGAGTGGATGCCGGCAGGGGGGCTGGAGGCCGAGGCAGGAGGGGAGATGATGGAGGCCCAGCCTAAGGCAGGTGTGGGGACGCGGTGGGCGGGGCAGAGAGTAAGGGATTCAGGAGATCTTTGCAGATGGGAAGTGACACCTTCTCACAAGACTGAGCATCCGCCAGAATAACCTTAGCCAACGGCCCAGCACAGTGCACAGCTCTTCAGTGGTTCCCACCCGTGAGTGCGCGTTGGAGACTCCTGGGGAGTTTTAAAAAACACCAGTGCCCAGGCCCTACCCCCGGGGCATCGGGATACCACTGGCTGCACTGCATAGGTCGCCAGGGTGAGGGCCAGGGTATGTGTGGTGAGCCGGCCAAGTGAATGAATTGGGCTCATCCTCTTGGTTGACTTTCTTGATGCGAATGCGAGGGCCCGGGCGAGCCGGATATGCGGTTAGGATCCCTGCTCTGTTCCGCCAGAAGGCAACGAGGCCTGCGAAGCAAGGGCTTTGGGGTCGCCCAGGCCAAGTGAGCTGGCTGGAGTCCGTTGACCTGTCGAGCCCGTTTCCTTTTTGAAACAAACCTCGGTGGGTTGTCATGAGATGCAAGGGCCTGGCATGGAGCACGGGAGCCTGATGGGCTGTTGTAACTCATGCAGTCTCCATGGGAGAGTTCACGTGGAGATGCCAAGACCCATTTGGGGACAGAAGAAACCCTAGACCTGAGCTCATCGGAGGGTACACGATGCCCTCGTGTGGTTAAAACTAGATTTGTCTGGGAACAGGAGTGTCTTTAATGTAAATTTAAAACAATACTCATTTCTTTTAGCGGCACCACCACATACTTTGAGGTTGAGGCTATTCTGGTCACATTGTTTCGGTTGTTTACAAGTAGCTTCTGATGTGTAGAATTCAGCTTCAACTCTCGGGGGATGTTGACAGGGACAAAAACATCTCATTTAAAAAATCACAAAGAAATGTGGTGAGGAATTGTAGTGTTGTCACATATAATAAAGAAGGGAGAGACCGGTGCAGCCGGGAGGGGCTGTGAATTAAACAGAACATGCCACACAGGGCAGCCTGACACGGTTCCACCCAGTGGCTCTAATTTGAGATCCCTGCTCTGCGGTCTCCACTGGCTGTGCATGGAGGGCAATGGCCTTTGAAGTGCTGTCCTTTCCCCAGAACCCAGCGGATTTTAAAATACATGTATTTTTTAAAAGGAGGTATATTTAAGAAAAGAGGCAGCTAGCTTCTGTCTGAACTAACTCACCACCACCAAAAAAAAGACAAACACGTCTTGCTTTGGAAGCGTTGGAGATTTGAGACTGCTGGCTGGAATTCCAGTCGTTTTCACTCGATGAGGCCTCCTTTAGTGGGGTCTTAGCTGGTGCAGGGCTGTGTACCCCAGAACACTACCCCCGCCCTGAGCTCACTGTACACGTACAGACAGTTTGGAATGAACTATGTAAATAGCACACCCGTGCAGGGCAGAGCATGGGACAAAAGCAGCTTCTTCCCTATGGCTCCTCTGCCACCATACAAATGATCATCACCTGCTCAGACCTAAAACAGGACCCTGGGCCGAGAACTCTGCACTTTAAACTCATTCCCCAGATGCTCTTTACCTATATTTGGGGTGTCGTCTAAGCCAGCATTTGTCAGACTTCAGGATTTCACAAATCTGTGAAATTACAAAAATTATCTAATCTCACTTTGGGTTGTCAATCTATTATTATTTTGCAAAGAGAAACCAAAAGTGATGGCCATCTCCTTTCACCTTCACCCTTGTTTCATAAAGCGTGACATTGGGCCTCGTCAAAATCTGTGTAGTCTTCATGGCCTAGTTGCTCAGAAAGGTGCATGTATTGTCATGGGAACCCCAAGGGGCTTTGGGTAGCACTTTGGGGTAAGGTATCCAGAGACAAGGCTTAGAGGAGAAAAACATTGTCTTCCATTCCTTTATTTATTAGATATATGCAGATCTGTTTTATGTACAATTCTTGGTTCTACCAAGTAATCACACCAAGGCTTTCTACAGGTAATCCTACCCAAATATATTCGGGCAAAATAGATCTTTATGCACTTCGTGGACTAGCCAAACTCGAGACCTCATTACTGATTTCAGTTTTGAGGCCATACACACAATCAAAAATATACATATCCAGAGACAAGGCTTAGAGGAGAAAAACATTGTCTTCCATACCTTTATTTATTAGATATACGCAGATCTGTTTTATGTACAATACTTGGTTCTACCAAGTAATCACACCAAGGCTTTCTACAGGTAATCCTACCCAAATATATTCGGGCAAAATAGATCTTTATGCACTTCGTGGACTAGCCAAACTCGAGACCTCATTACTGATTTCAGTTTTGAGGCCATACACACAATCAAAAATATACACAACCAGAGACAAGGCTTAGAGGAGAAAAACATTGTCTTCCATTCCTTTATTTATTAGATATATGCAGATCTGTTTTATGTACAATTCTTGGTTCTACCAAGTAATCACACCAAGGCTTTCTACAGGTAATCCTACCCAAATATATTCGGGCAAAATAGATCTTTATGCACTTCGTGGACTAGCCAAACTCGAGACCTCATTACTGATTTCAGTTTTGAGGCCATACACACAATCAAAAATATACACAAAGTGGGTTAAGGCAGTAAATTGGGCTGAAAGAAACCACAGGGCTCAGAACAACAAAACTGTATTCTGCTGGCGTTAGAGCCACAGCGTGAACAGCGAATGTGAATACGGCCTCGCTCTTTCAGTGTAGTGCAGGAATTTCTGAAATCTAGGGTGACGGTGACAGTGACAACGGCGGGTGGGCAAGCAGCTGAAGCGCCCTGCTGGAAGCTTCGCGGAGCGCTCATTTCTTCTCCGCCTCTTCTTTCTTGGCTGCTTGTTTCAGTTTGTAATCAGCCAGGGCGGCCTTGATTGCGTCCTCAGCGAGCACTGGAGGGAAGGAAGGAGGGAGCCTAAGTTTCCAGACAGGGAACAGCAGGCTCAGGGAGGGGATTTCTAGGAGCCGGAGGGAGGGCCGCGGTGCTGGGCAGGGCCTGCTGGGCACCTAGCACGGGCTGGGAGGGAGTGAGCCTGGAACCCAGTGTCTCCTGAGCCAGATTCCTCCTGCAGCGGCTTTGGAGACAGAGTGGGGGTTAAATACCTGGGATTCCAGGTTAGTTTCTGAACCTCTGTGGATCGACTTTCTCTTCCGTAAAACTGGACAATTATGTTTTCCTTGCTGGGACTGTGTGAGGACTTATTATGTGGCTGGCACATAGTAGGGACACAACAAAGGTTCACTCTCATCTGCTCACAGGAAAGACTGGAGTAAATGTAGTGGGTGCTGGGTAAGCTAACTGGCGTAATGCAGATGGCATCATTTGTGATAGGATGGTGTTTGTCACATCACTCTCTAGCGATCCTAAATTTGAACACTTATTTAGGGGTGAAACTCTGAAGGAAAATAAAAATCGAGAGAGCTGGAATGAGAGCAGAAAGCAAGCCAAGAGCAGGGAACTTTAGCTCAAGCTTTCAGGACCCAAGAAGGCCTACTGAAAGCGTGTGGAAAGTTTACAAGCTGTGGCCTTTACTCAGGGCTACTTGAAATTCCAGCTCAAGTGGAAAAAACTTGGGCCTTAGCAGACTTCCTGAAGATTGCGTTAGCGTGTCCCTGTCCTAGAACTCGGTTCTCCTGTGAGTCTTCTCCTGGCAAGAGGCCCGGCTCTCTGCTGGTTTTTAACTAATTTGGTCAGTAAATTCCATCAATCTGGTAAAAATGCCATTTCTCATTCCCCCCTTTCCAAGAAGGTTGGGAGAAGATGGACACAGCTTTAGCTTTAAAACACAGACTGAGCTGGAAAGCCACGTGTCGGTCTTAAGGCATCCGGGCTCTCTGTGTGACAGTGCAGAGGAGAATAGTGCACAACTGGGCTTAGTCATCCCATAGACACAGATGCACACCGAGAGCAGCTGCATGTGGACAGGAAGTGAGGAAATACACAGCGAATGGGACTATGGGGAAAGCTGGATTTTCCCCTCTGCTGGTCCTGACTCGGCGGCAATGGGGTGGGNCTTGGTTCTACCAAGTAATCACACCAAGGCTTTCTACAGGTAATCCTACCCAAATATATTCGGGCAAAATAGATCTTTATGCACTTCGTGGACTAGCCAAACTCGAGACCTCATTACTGATTTCAGTTTTGAGGCCATACACACAATCAAAAATATACACAAAGTGGGTTAAGGCAGTAAATTGGGCTGAAAGAAACCACAGGGCTCAGAACAACAAAACTGTATTCTGCTGGCGTTAGAGCCACAGCGTGAACAGCGAATGTGAATACGGCCTCGCTCTTTCAGTGTAGTGCAGGAATTTCTGAAATCTAGGGTGACGGTGACAGTGACAACGGCGGGTGGGCAAGCAGCTGAAGCGCCCTGCTGGAAGCTTCGCGGAGCGCTCATTTCTTCTCCGCCTCTTCTTTCTTGGCTGCTTGTTTCAGTTTGTAATCAGCCAGGGCGGCCTTGATTGCGTCCTCAGCGAGCACTGGAGGGAAGGAAGGAGGGAGCCTAAGTTTCCAGACAGGGAACAGCAGGCTCAGGGAGGGGATTTCTAGGAGCCGGAGGGAGGGCCGCGGTGCTGGGCAGGGCCTGCTGGGCACCTAGCACGGGCTGGGAGGGAGTGAGCCTGGAACCCAGTGTCTCCTGAGCCAGATTCCTCCTGCAGCGGCTTTGGAGACAGAGTGGGGGTTAAATACCTGGGATTCCAGGTTAGTTTCTGAACCTCTGTGGATCGACTTTCTCTTCCGTAAAACTGGACAATTATGTTTTCCTTGCTGGGACTGTGTGAGGACTTATTATGTGGCTGGCACATAGTAGGGACACAACAAAGGTTCACTCTCATCTGCTCACAGGAAAGACTGGAGTAAATGTAGTGGGTGCTGGGTAAGCTAACTGGCGTAATGCAGATGGCATCATTTGTGATAGGATGGTGTTTGTCACATCACTCTCTAGCGATCCTAAATTTGAACACTTATTTAGGGGTGAAACTCTGAAGGAAAATAAAAATCGAGAGAGCTGGAATGAGAGCAGAAAGCAAGCCAAGAGCAGGGAACTTTAGCTCAAGCTTTCAGGACCCAAGAAGGCCTACTGAAAGCGTGTGGAAAGTTTACAAGCTGTGGCCTTTACTCAGGGCTACTTGAAATTCCAGCTCAAGTGGAAAAAACTTGGGCCTTAGCAGACTTCCTGAAGATTGCGTTAGCGTGTCCCTGTCCTAGAACTCGGTTCTCCTGTGAGTCTTCTCCTGGCAAGAGGCCCGGCTCTCTGCTGGTTTTTAACTAATTTGGTCAGTAAATTCCATCAATCTGGTAAAAATGCCATTTCTCATTCCCCCCTTTCCAAGAAGGTTGGGAGAAGATGGACACAGCTTTAGCTTTAAAACACAGACTGAGCTGGAAAGCCACGTGTCGGTCTTAAGGCATCCGGGCTCTCTGTGTGACAGTGCAGAGGAGAATAGTGCACAACTGGGCTTAGTCATCCCATAGACACAGATGCACACCGAGAGCAGCTGCATGTGGACAGGAAGTGAGGAAATACACAGCGAATGGGACTATGGGGAAAGCTGGATTTTCCCCTCTGCTGGTCCTGACTCGGCGGCAATGGGGTGGGAACAGCACAGATTCGGGAACTAGAGACTGGGCCGTAGATCCTGCTTTCTCACTTAGGAGCCGTGTGACTGGTGCTTGAACCTGAACCTGTTTCCTCAGCCATAAGGGGGAGAGGAAATGGACCTTGTGTGGCATGGAGGATGTTTCTGAGGTTTACAGAAGATGCTATGACGTACTGTCCGGGCCGCTGGCATTCGGGAGGGCAGACTTACTGGAGCAGTGCAGTTTCACGGGGGGAAGGCACAGTTCCTTGGCGATATCTGTGTTTTTGATGGTCAAGGCTTCCTCCACCTGAGAGCAATGGGAAAGACAAGTGGTGTTAGCGATGCTCTATCTTGAGGGATGAGACAATAAAAAAAGGGAAGGCCCAAGAGGACCTCAGGACAGATTGCTGGGGGATGGTTTCTGTGAATAACCCCAAACAAAGGACCAAGGACCTTCTCGGGACTCCCTCTTGCATGTCAAGGCTACAGGTGGGATTCTGGGGTATGAAGTATGCATAGCTGTGCTGCTTGGCTGGGGTAGGCAAGGCCAGCAGACACTTCTATGAGCCGGAAGAGAACTTGTGAGATGTCACTTAGGAATCAGATTTGATGGAAACCAGAAACATGAGTCTTTTTTTTTTTTTAGAGGCAGTGACTTCCTATGCTGGTTTTGTGAACATCAGCTTCTCCGATATCCTTATACCAAGTGTTTAGAATAAGTTCCTTCAACTTGAAGTGCTGATGGGACTGGGGAGGCCAGAGAGGTGTAGGACAGGCCGGTGGCACTCCAGCACTGTGGCAATGACACAGGCAGGTCTTGGGCTAGGAGCTCTCTTTAGGCTCTTCCTCTTTCGAAAGGAGACCAGCTCCTCCAGACAGTTGAAAATGATGCCTGAGGTTTGGTCAAGAGCCCGAGGGCAGAGCAAGAGGCAGTGGAACAGAGTCCCATCAGCTTAAAGAAAGTGAGCTTTCCTCACCTGTCCCAACTTCCCAATGCCCTTAACTCCACTGAATTATGAGTTAAGTTCTGTTCCTGGAAACTCAGATGGGAGCATTTCAAGGTCAAAGAAAGGCCCTCTTCCCCATTTTCTGATCACAACTCAGGCCCCTGCGGGTCAGGTCCTGGGAGCACAGATGCCCGTCTCCTTTCCCTCCTCTTTCCCTGTAGGAAGCTGTTGACAAATCACTGCAGAGCCACCTCCTGCCAGACAGGTCAGGTCTGTGCTTCCTTGGTCTAAAGGAGCTTGCCAGCCACAGAAAGCAGGTGGCATGTGGTGTGGCAGCCCGCTTTGCTGTAGAGCTGCCCAGCTCCCCAAGCACTCTTTTCTATGACTCTGAACTTGGTCTCCTGGGGATACAAGGATGAAAGGCCTGCAGTTCAGCTTTTCTGAGAGGTTTTAATGACGACTAGATTTTAGAAGGTCCAGTTCTACACTGGGCTTGGACCTTCTACTTCTGTAGCTATTGGGGAAAGAGGCTTTGGCAGAAAGGATGGAGGTGTCCCTGCCTTTCTTTTCTCCTCTCAGAGGGCCTGCGACCGGCCACCTGGATCACTGGTTTGATGTGTTTTCTCATTTTGTCCCTACCCTCGATGTGTTTTTGATTCTCCAATTCCTCTTTTAGCACAGGCCAGTTTGTTATTTTATGAATCCTTAAAAGCCACCTGCAATCTTTCCCGAAACAGGATGGGAGGAAATAAACAAGAAAACAAACCACTATAAAACCCCCTGACCTGACTAAGACTCATAAGAAATTACAACACCAGGAACCTTGGAGAAAGCCAAAGGTTTCTTTTAAGCTCTGTTTTGTCAGATGGAGAGGTGAGGACCTTTTTTCTATTTAATAAGAAACACATCACCACAGAAAACCCCAAATAAAAACGATCAACAACAAAAAACCCCAAACTAAAAAACACTTAACAAAATCATCCAGTTCCCAATATGGAGAAAAATTTAATAAATATCTGGGTAGAAGAAATTAAAAAGAAATTCTTAGAATGATAGTTATTTTTTCCCCCCACTCACTAGACCCTTCCCTTAACTGAGAGCCACGTTTGTGGGAAATGTGATTTAATTCTGTCAGATTTGCGAGCAACCTCACCGTCTTTCCCTTCACCCATTCCGTGGCTAACGAACTGGAGGCAATTGCAGAACCACAGCCGAATGTTTTAAACCTGGCATCCACGATCTTCCCCTTTTCATCAACTTGAATCTAGAAAAGAGACAGGAGTTAGACTGCCCTGTAGGGCCCGGCACTCACAGAGGTTCACTGGGGGCTCTCCCCAGGAACTCTGGTCTTGTTTCCACACTTTTAAGTTCTGGCATTAACTGCTGAGTTTGCTTTGTTTCCAAGAGCTCAGTGATGAAAATTTAAACATAGGAACAATTATATAGAATTATATAGGCCTAGCTGGTAAAGATTAGCTGAAAAACATGCCCCCTTCACAGGTTTGGTTTTTTTTTGCAACCCTAGCTTGCTTTTTGGCTATGAAGTTCTACCTTTTCTTGGACACCAAATTGTATTCAGTGGTTGCGCCCTGCCTCGTCTGTTTTCTAAGATAGGCATGAAGACTGGCAAGCTGCCCACCCCCATGATGAAGTACTCTGTGGATGAAGCTATGGCTTACCCAAAGTGCCAGTCACTACCTTCCGGTTGTCTTCAGTTTGGGGGAGGTTTGATTTATAAGATTTCTTATCTCACTGGGGATTACTAGCTCAACAGTTGTGGTTTTCCTTTGGTAAAATTCACAGAACCTTTTACTTAACTGCCGTTGGAATTCGAGCTGATTCAGTGAGCAGAACAGTGTGATCAGTTTACTATATCAGAAAGGGTCAGCAGAGTATGCTGGCTGGAGAATGAGGATTCGGGCTCTGCTCTGACCACTTGTGACAGTGACTCATCCTATCTCACAGGAATCAAAATGGAGACCCAGTGAAACGGTGTGTGCAAATGCTCTGTAAACTATGAAGCACTGTGTAAGCAAACAGATCACCATTCCCATGAAAGATGAAAACCAGCTGTACCTGTAATTTCATTACATCACCACATGCTGGAGCCCCCACCAATCCAGTTCCGACATTTTTAGATGTCTTGTCAAGAGACCCCACATTTCTGGGGTTTTCATAATGATCAACAACCTGAAATGAGATAGTTAAGAGAAATCACGATCCACTCTTTTTTGGTCTTGACTTGACTTGATGGTAAGCTCAAGGCTGGAAAGCTGAACTTGGTAGGCAATCACTAATTACCAACTTTTACCTGGGTGGGAAGGCTTACACTCATGTCAGTGAGAACCGTTTACGACCCAAAGTCTTTTTGTATCTCCTTCCCAACTACCTTAAGAGATTTGTGATACTGGGGGGAGATCATGTCTTAGTTCCATAGGGTTTTTAACTACATGTAATTATTTGACCTTTACCCACCTAAATCGCCAGGTTCGGGCTCAAACGGCATTTTTGTTATTTCCAAATAAAATCTATTCTCAAAGGATAGTCATTACTATTCAGAAATCCTAAAAGTAACTATGACCCATAAATTGAAGGCTTTTCCAGAAGCCTCCAGGAGACGCTGCTATGGAACGTGTCCAATTCTGTATGATAAAATCAGTTCCATCGCCCTATTGCAGGGCCCTGAAACCTCCCCGATGCAGCAGCGCACCCTGGTGGCCAGGAGGCAGCGAGCCCGAAATCATTCAGCGGGTACTGTCAACAAAACACACCCCTGGGTGGGGGAGGAGCGAAGTCCTTGGCGACGAGCCGAAGCCAGAAGAAAATAAATGTCTATTCAAACGGGCACGCAGAAGGCTCTAATAACCTTGGTTTTTTCCCCCCACCAGTTAGCCAGAAGTATACCGATC